CCCCAAAACCCCAAAACCCCAAAACCCCAAAACCCCAAATTAAATACTCCAGATTGAAGCTTAGTTGTGCAAACTTTCCGATAACACAAATAGTAATCTTGAAAAGGATTTGTGTGACGATTTTAATCAAAGAATTAATACACTTGTTGATTCAAGTTTCTAAAGGGTGCTCTATCGTCAAGTCTCTGTACAAAAAGGTTAGAGCAGCTAGAAAGAAGACATTACCATATATGCATCATGTTCTTGATCGTAAACCTCGTCTAACTTTCCAGTACACACCTAAAGATCAAGGCAAGTTTACCATTCATGAATAAATCAAGCATGTTGCGAGAATTATTAGAGACATTATCAAGGCTAAATAGTTTTTGCCGCTTGATGAATACTAAAAGTTATTAACAATACTCTTAAAGTTACTTACCAGATCTTTATTATAACTCAGGAAGATCTTATTAGTGAATAAATCTGAGCATTTTCCTTGAGCTAACACATCAACAGTTTGGTTATACGAGCTTATAACTCCAATATTTGAATAGCAGTACCAGATGATAATCAAGATCAATACACCCTTAATAACCAAAGCTCCAACATCTACATTCTTAAGTGAGCAGCTATCATCACCAGGATCCTGGTTCAGAATAACATTATAGACGCACAACAGTATGCCACATACAATAAAGAACACTATACTAAAAAGAAGGGTGATTCCAAGAGACCATGAAATATCCACTGAATACTCTACAGTTGTTATAAAATCCTCTCTGTTAAGTCCATATTCACTGTCGCAGTCAGGGTCCCACTCAAAGTACCTATTCACGTATAGATTCCAGTAATAATGTCTCTCATCTGCAGCAGGATAGCGTGGTAAGTTCCTTGTGACGTAGCTGACTCCATTATCCTCAAATAATCTATCTTCTCTGACTTTGCCAACGAGCTCGTATCTAGGGTCTGTATAAGAACCGGCTATTCTTGTGGAACAGGTTGAGGAATATCTAGAGGTAAAAGTTAATTCACTTAGAATATAATGACGTGAGAAGTTACTAATTAGTGCCACGAAATATCTTTTAAACATTTTATGGTGCTCACAATCAGGGAGGGATTTTAAGATAGAAGTTTATGGTATTATCGTTTTAGGCTCTGTAAGAGAAATAACTAAAGCGAAAAGTTGGAAAAGCACTGTGGTCTGGAGTTGAGCAGAGTTTTACAACTGCTTATCCCAACTATATCATGATTTTAAACTCTCATACCTTCTGAGAAGTTTGTACAAGTATCGACCTTTGGATGTACCAACTTCTTCAGGATTAGCACAGACACCTCCTTCGGTCAGCTTCATTCTAACTATTGGAAGACCACCAGCTTTGGAGTAAGAGAAAGCAAGGACTACGCCAGAGTCCAGGTTGAGCTTTGTATAGTGGTCGTCATTTTCTTGAGGAATTTGGGAGTCGGTGTTGGAAAAGGTACTGGATGTATCAGAGATGATGATGCTGTTTATGGGACAAGGACTACCTTGAGAAACACAGTATTGATCCTTTGGTTCTCCAGATCCACATATTTTATATCCTCCAGGGCATTTTGTAACACCGAACATCTTTGTGGGTCTTACAGCTCGGTTAAAAGGATCTCCTTGTCTTTTTGCTCAGATTCTATAAGAGTAGAATTTATTAAGAGGCATTGATGCTGTGGAGGAAACGGTTCTACATCCGTCATTTGTTTCATTAACATCACATCTTCCAGTTTGAAGATTTGGATAAAAGCCCCAGGCATGACTACAATCACATCCAGTTGATGTTCCAGGCCATCTGTCAATGATCAGATCTTCGTATCCTCCAGGGCATCGGCTCAGTCCTGTCTTGATGTCAACTATATAAGTTAGAAAGCATCTTTACCAATAGGTTTGAGACTCCAATTGGTCTTGAAATCATTCAAAGAAGCACTGTATCCAGATACAGCGCCATAGGCCATCCATACAACTATTAGATTAATAAAGGCTAGGACTAAAATGCAAATATGATAGCCTTGCTGCATTGTCTTCAGGTTGCCTGAACTACCCTCAGGCACAAGAGGCCTTGAGTAAGGGTCATATCGGTCATTCACACGTGTACTTCTCCCATCAGGTTCAAACCCTTGGTCAAGATTCTTAAAGGGTTGGTTCATTTTAGATCAAAATTGTTTTATAAATATTCTCACATCTTGGGGTTTTGGGGTTTTGGGGTTTTGGGGTTTTGGGGTTTTGGGGTTTTGGGG